GAAACGACAGGTCACGGCGGGTCCATTCGGGTTACAACCAACAATAACCTTAGCACTTCAAAAATCAAGAAACCACGAAAAATGCAAGGAAGTGGAAGAAAAAACATAGGTGAAGAGGACTTAAACGATGTATGTGGTTTTGTATTATTTAGTTGTTAATATAATTTGGCATAACCTAAAATATAATAATAAATTAGAATAAAAATATCACTTTTTTCTTAATCTTGTAAAATGTATAAAATATGTATAGTAATCCCTTTATGTACATTTATATTTCAGTTAATATGTTATGAGTGTAACAATAAAGTACAACAAGATACAATTTTTTCTCACATTTGCTTTACAGATATAGAAAATGTATATTTTTCAGGACGATACGTAATGAAGAGTGGTATGAGTTTATCTATTTTTTTGGTATAATTCTTAGCATGCCTATTAAAATTAAATAATAAAAAAGTAATACGTATTGTGGTGCTGAAGCTAGCGTTCAATCTGTATACTGTTGTTTGTTACATTGTTGTAAATTTGAGGAAACTCAGGTAATTTACTTACTTTCATTAGACATGTCTGTGAAGTTGTAAAAAATTTTGAAGTTTTTCCTACGAAAAAAGTTACGAATTTTTTATCTAGTGTCCTGCAAGGAATGTGTACCAGCTTTGTATGCTAGTTTCAGCCTCATATATGTATTATATTATTGATACTGATTGGTTTCTTTTTATTTTATCATATGTATAGCAATGCTTTGCGACAATAATATTTCTCAGACTGCAGCTGAGAGTAAAAATGAACACAATAACACTTCAGCTGATGAGGCTGACGAACTACCGGATGATATTGATTTATCTTCGAAGTCTGTACTCTGGAACAGTAAAGCGGTTAAATGCCTACTAAGTTTGTATCCAAAGTATAAAAATCTGCTTGATAAGTGCAAAATTGTTTCCAAAAAAATGATGTACGCATGCATTTATAAAGAAATGTGTAAATACGGATACACATTTACAAGCATACAAATTGAAAATAAAATGAAAGCATTCGAAAAAGCATACAAAAAAATTATTAAATAAAGGGCCAAAGAAAAGTGGAAGATGAAGAATGAACCTTGAATTTGAAAAGTATGTATATGTATATATACAAATATAAATATTTATTGCAATTAAAATAATTCAACAATAGAGTCAAGAATCAACTCAAGGTGACGTTAGAGTAAAAGTATAATTGTAAGCTATAACTTATACAAACTTTCTCATCAGACGTTTCGATCCCTATCGGGTCCTTCTCATAGGGGTCGAAACGTCTAATGAGAAAGTTTGTAAAGTTATTGCTTACAATTATACTTTTACTCTAACGTCACCTTGAGTTGATTCTTAACCGTATTGTTGAATTGTTTTAATTTGTAATTATTGGAACCGTTTTATTTATTTGATTGTGTTTTATTGCAATTGTTTATTAATTCTGTATGTAATATATATACAGGGTGTCTGGTAGCGACCGCAAAATATTTCGTGCGTGAGTAGAACAGACTACACTGAGTCGAAAAGTCCTGTACCATTTTGCGGTGTCAGCAATAGTTAAGGAGATATTAACGATTTAAAGATAACCGAATAAGAGCGTCCGGTCGGCCTACTACTGCCGAATGTACAACCCACCGGCCACGATCGCACGGCGCGCGGGCCGCTGGGAGTGGGGATGGCCTATCAGGCGCATCGTGCCGTTCGAGCTTAGTGGCTCGCGGCGGTCAGCGGGATGCTTGCCCCACTCCCCGCGATCGGTGGGTTGTACATTCGGCAGCAATAGGCCGGTCGGACGCTCTTTTTCGATTATCTTTAAACGTTAATATCTCCTTAACTATTGTTGACACCGCAAAATGGTACAGGACTTTTCGACTCAGTGTAGTCTGTTCTACACACGCACGAAATATTTTGCGGTCGCTACCAGACACCCTGTATATATATATTATAATTAAATAACAATGGCTCTATAGTATTAAAATAATAAATAAATCAAGGGCGGAGAGCCAATAATTTTAAATAATAACGTTTAATACAAAGAATAAAAGTAAGATGTTTCGACACCGATCGGGTCATTGTAATATTAGATTTAATGTAGTTCGCAATATATGATAATATTAGATATTATTATTTCTAATAATTATTTTACAGCGAACTGCAAGATATTTTTGGAAAAGTCCATTCCATAATTCCTCCGGTACTAATAGGAACGAATTGTCTCGTTATAAACAATGCAACTCCAACAAAAGTGATAGATCAGCCGTCTATAGGTCAAGAAACATCAATGAAGGATGTCAATGAAACCGCATTACCTAAAGATGTCCCACCACTTCAGCTACAAGGTGCCTGTGCAATAGATGATATAGGCGGAGGAGAAATACAAGAGACAAACAATAAAGAAAATACGTAAGAACGCGATTATTAAACATAAAACAAAATATTTCTTTATTAATTATATAATCTATTAAATAAACTGAATTAATACCATATTTCAGATTCCGTAACAATGATAAAGAGACACTGGTATCTTCAAATGATAAAGAGACACCGGTCGAAATGAAAATCAAAATAACGCCAAAAAGGGATTCTGCTAAAGATATCCGCACAAGGCGAGAGAAAGAGAAAGCTGTTCGACAAAATGAGTATTTAAAACTCAAGCGCATCGAATTGCAACTGAAAGCCAAAAAATATAAAGCCAAGTACAATACCCAAGGAGCACAAAGTTATGAGAAAGTTTTTATAACTTCATAAAACGTTTGTACCATTTACATATCGAAAAATTATACGACTAAAAAGTTAATGTCGGTTATATAACTATTTGTAGTTTTTAAAACGTCTATATAAACACATAACATTTAGTCAATATATGTATATTCATTAGAAATTTGTATAACGTCTATACGACTCTACACAAAATAATCATTATGTAGTATTCATTTTAAGATTTTGTAACGTCTATACGACTTCCTAAGGAGCACAAAGTTATGAGAAAGTTTATATAACTTTATAAAACGTTTGTACCATTTACATATCAAAAAATTATACGACTAAAAAGTTAATGTCGGTTATATAACTATTTGTAGTTTTTAAAACGTCTATATAAACACATAACATTTAGTCAATATATGTATATATTCATTAGAAATTTATATAACGTCCATACGACTCTACACAAAGTAATCGTTATGTAGTATTCATTTTAAGATTTTGTAACGTCTATATGACTTATTATATGTTAACAATCTTATAATACTCATTACAAGTTTTTAAAACGCTTATGTAACTCCGTATATTTCAATTCAACTTTTGAGTCATAATATCAGGTTTTTAGGACATTTATACAACTGCAAAGACAAACGTTGTTGCGTTGAAATAATGTGTATATTTATAAAACGGTACGTACATTATAACTTTATGTACGTTATGTATATAACTTCATAAAGTAAAGTCGCAGGTTATGATTATCATAATTAATCTGTCTTATTATCATAACTAATCTGTGTATATACGTTCATTAATTTTAATAGAGTCAAATCTAAATAAATAAAATGGAAAGAAAAAAAGTGTTTAAGCATAGTAGTAGCTATTACAGGAGAGTAAAATATTATTTAAAGCAACAGCAGACAACTGCAGCTACAAAGAAAAGCAGAACGTGCGAAAATAATGTAGAAACTGCATATCTTAAATCAAAGACACAATTAAATTATGGCGATCACAGTCCACTATCTCCGTTATCATCAACACTAAATTCATCTTTTAAAAGTGATCAATGTGAAAGCTATGTTCTTGAATCCATATCTGACCAAGATGAAAGTGAAGATGATTTGAAAAATCTTATTAACGACGAAGAGCTTTTTCATGAAAAATATATATGGCTCTTTAGAATGATCCACACACACACACGCACGCACGCACGCACGCAAAATATTTAAAAAATATTTTTAAAAAATGTATTTAATGTAAAAATATTGAATAAATGTTTAAAAAATGTTGTTTTAATATTATATGCTGATTAGAGATGTATATATTATTATTAATATATATATATTAGAGAAAATTTATATATATGTATATTATATATATAAATTTTCACTTTTCACGTTTCCGCACAAGAGAAAAAATTATATGCTCGGTACCAAGGAGTCGAATAACAGTTGAATTCCAAACTGTCGAGACAAGCGTGCGATTATAGCTCAAGCGTAGCGTGTTAGATTCCCGTCCCATAGGTCTTAGGTTCAAACTCCGTCGAAACCACATGCGTTTTCATAAATATGTACTTGCGTATAAATATTCGGGGCATCTTAAACGTAATGAATATCAAAAATATAACAATAAAAAAATGTTTAATTTTGATCATTTTAATAATTTTGATAATTATTGAAGAAAGTTGTATTAACGTTTGTACGTGGTATTTAAGACAATCATTGAGACGTTATTTTATATCTATTAACGGTTTGTTGTAAAACAGTAGTATATTACAAGTTTTAATGTGGTTAATATAACGTCAGAAATTAGTCGTATAGATTCCCCACTTTGTTGACATAAACGTTTCAACGACGTTATTGCCTGCACTGTTTAGTTGCATAACAGTTGTAAGAAAAGTTACAAAGTTTTATAGAAAGTCGTATAAACATTTCTATAACTGTTATCCATATAGATTGTGCTCCTTGGGTATCGACATCGGCAATGATGTTGATGAAAATGATGAGATATTTTCAAACTATTTTATAAAATTCGTTCTCATATTTTTTTATTGTTTCAATTTAAGATTTTCGAAGAAAATGCGGGATAAATGCAATTTATAATTCGATTAATAATTTTATTATCACACACACACACATACACACGCAATTTGTTCCTACTTTGAGAAGGACTGAAACTATATTATGTTTTTTTTAATCAGAATTTTTTATTTAAATATTATAAAATAGTAAATAATGAAGTACAAAGTACAATACTGTGATATGTAGTGTAATAAAAGATTTGTTAAATTAATACATATTGTTATTTATTCTTATAAAGGTCGTTGAAATAAATTATCACGCAATTCATTCCTTAATGCGAATCCATTAGGTATATCATCATATATATTTGGGTTTTCATTGTTCACATTCATTCTAATATCGACAATCTCATCTAATTGTGGATCGAACAAATCAAGGTCGTCTGTACTACACATATTGTGCAATACACAACATGCATATATAACTTTTATCCTCCTTTCGATACTTCGCAATTTGGTGTGGTAGAGGAATCGCGCGCGCGCGCGCGCGAAACCTTCATTATAAATTTATATAATATTATGAAATTAGATTGTTTACATAATAGTACATTTAAATTTATAATAGGCCAAATTATGAGTTACGAATTATTTTTTAATCTATGGTCGAAGCTTTCACATGCTGTAGTATAGGAAATATCTTGGTTCTCGACTTAAAATACATTAAATTGACCTTTTATACAGTCATATATACATATTATATATAAGCATAATTTACGTTACCGTTGCTTCAAAATGCCAATAGTATGCTCAACTCGCACACGACATGACGATAATTTGGCATTATACGAAATTTCAGCAGCAGTTAGATGACCATTGTCTTTATAGGGTGTCATTAATGTCGGAAGGCACGGATATGCACTATCTCCCAAAAGCCATCCGCCTATAACATTTTATCAGTAAAAGAATATTGTAAAAATATAGTACAGCGTATACAGATATAATATTAAACATTTAAAAAATAAAATTTATTGGAAGTTCTTTTTGCCATTAAAAAAATAATCTGAAATTATACAGTACTTACGTAATTCTGGATTAAGTAATTTTTCAATCAGTGGCGAATGTCTAAACACTTGCATCGTGTACAGATCCCGGAAACCCGATAAAAACGTCTATAATTTGTCGTTCATGGTTACAAACTATTTGCGTTTGTATCGAGAAGAAATCTTTTCTATTATAGTAACTTTCAGGACTTTCTTTTGGCCTATCAATGCGAATGTGGGTCCCATCGATGCACCCAATTACATTTGGAAAACCCTTCACATTTTGAAAATATGTTTTAGTTATTTCCATTTCTTCTTCATTAGGCCAGTGAATATACTGTGGTGCAATATCGACCAAATAATCAGATACTCTTGTAATGATGTCAAAGAGTACACTCAGTGACAGATCAAAGCGGTCTGCACAGTCTCTATACGATGATACTTCATGGCCAACGAACCACAAGAATGTGTATAAATGCTTCTCAGGAGATATAGCATCTCGACCGAAATCTAAAAAAGTTATGTAAAATTTGATATACATATAAATAAAACCACTTTTCGAGTTATATATGTATTTTTTTCACTTATTTACATCTTTTGGATAAAAGATTATACGAGATGACATGAGCAAAATAACATAATTGTATTAACCATTTACGATAGATGTGTAATGCACTGATTGCGAAAACTGTAAAATAAGTTGGTTAACAACATCTCTTCTTAATCTAAAATGTTTTACAAACTCTTGTTCGTTGTACTCAGAAATGACAGCTTCATAATTTGTTATGCAATGTCTATTTTCGTCTTCACAAGATGAAGTAGAATCGAAAAACATTTCCGATAGACATTTCAGATAAATCGGACGATGACGATGACGATGATGAGGACGAAGTACTCATGATCAATTTATGCATAAAACGTATGTCGAAAAACGAAATAATGGAATCGAGAAATATCAACAGTATGTACAGATTATCACAGTTCGATCAGATTCGGTTATACTGTCGTGTTCTTTTTACAGCGGTCCGAGTGGTCCCGAGTTCACTTCAGAGTCGTTCAGAGCACAATAAATAGTTAACTTCCTGTTTTACGGTCCATTTCCGGAGTTCCAATTATCTTAACCTAAGGCTACTCAGGTCTGATCGGGTCTGCTCCGAAATAGAGCCAGAATATACAAAACGAACAATACTATAATAAACACACGCACGCACGCACGCACGCACGCACGCACGCACGCACTCTCTCTCTCTCTCTCTCTCTC